CGGATTGAGTTGGGACGAGAAGTTATACACGAGAAAACCTTGAATATTAGTGTGCTAAGAATAAAACAAAATAAATAAACAATGCTTTTATTTCCTTTTGATTTATTGAGCATGCAAACGGGTAATCAATTTTCAGGAAAGGCGGCTGCGGTTAATCAATGGCTGTCTGGGGAAAATACATGAATAAAGAACATGGGTTGTGGTAGTGAAAGATTTTAGGCAGCAGAATGCGAGCAGATTGACGGATAAGGACACATAAAACCATTAAAGTAAGGATAAGCACTGTCAGACGAGTTCATATCGACCCAACGACACAAGCAGACATCCATCCTTATCAAACTTCAGTCAATGGATGTGGTACTTCTCTATGACGATCTTCCTTTTCTGTGAACTGCCTTTTCGTCCACTTGTAAACTCTCGCCCTTTAAATGCATCACTAACAAGCTGTATCTTGTGTGAATGTTTCACAACTATCCCCCCCTTTAGAATATGCCTATTTATTGCATGCATTTCCCTTTTACTGTAATTCACATTGTATAGTTTAAAAAGTTGAATCGGGTAAGCCGAGGTTATATAACCGGAAGGATTTGTGCTCTCCGGTTCATAAGGTTTAATACTGATACGATGAAAAATGTCGCTGAAACCAAGATGTTGCATTTGATAGCTCTAACCAACCACGGAATATGGTACTGGTGATGCCAGAGTTGCACTTCCGAGTTCGTGACTACGCGTTGCATTCATTCACCCCCAGCACACTGAACCCGGGAATAGAACGAACGCGAGTGATAATCCGTGTGCAATGAAACGTATGAATTGGAGATACGTGAGGAGGAGTAGACAAAAAAGCTGCCTCCAGTGAAAAAGTCGAAAATATTTTGTTTAGTAATCACCATTGCAGTGATTAGTGTATTCAACAAAATTTAGTGTATTTGTAACGTGAANGTGAAGAACTAGGTCTAATTGGAGCCATAAGTAGGCCTGATTTATAGCCAATCAGCTTTGCTTCCACTTTGATCTGATATGGTCGTATAATCCATGAAGAAACTTTGAGAAAAGAAATAAATCAGAATCCGTGTGACCAATCCTTTTTTCCACCAGCATGTACTTCTAGCTGTCTACAGTGCGACGCAGTGATGACGCTGACCTTATGTTGTGGTGGCCCAGATTTATGCACGTTACGATGCTGTCTTTTAGGTCTTTTATTGGAAATATTGCTGATCGGGCGAAATTCAACCAGGCTAATTGTATTCGACGACCCGTTAGGGAATCAACGATCATCTATTCGCGGCTAACCGTTAGGAACTGTTCTGCTAACCGCAACCTGTAAACGTGTCCAGTTTTGCACAGCTTTGTTGTAATAGCCTACGTTAGAATTGAGAAGATAATATGCGGAGGAAACAAAGAATTTGCGTTCGATCAAGAACTGCTGCAGTATGAAGTAATTACCCACTGGGTAAGTCAATTATTCTAACTTTGTTGGGCGCCGCAGCTGGTAGCTTGCGGTCACATTCTCTAGCGTCTTTGGCTTACAGATTATGGCTTTCAGACACCAGCTGTGGCGAAAATAGACACTGTTCGTAAATTACTTCATGTGATCTATTGGCGCTTAAACCCTAGGGTAAGGAGCGGTCCAGCTGGCAGGCGATTACTCACTTTACTTTACTACGGCTGACTTCTCGGAAAGGATAAGTCGGCCCCATGAATGTTTCTGATTACTGCCGCAGAAGACATGATCATGAAGTTACTTGGGAGTTTGGTACGAGTGGTGTCCTCAGCGTCATTCGGCGTTGTTTATTTTGAAGCCGCACCTCTAGACTTTGCACAACCAAGTGCGAACTGCAAGACAGCAGGAAGTAATCCTCCCACCCCGGAAGTGAGTGGGTCAATGACTTTAGTTTTCAAAGGCCAGTCACATCGACCTTTGTCACGACACCGTCATTGGGCTTCAGGGGCTTTTAAACAGGAGCCAGGTTACCAGCCCGAACCCCACCACACCCTGTTAGTGCCGCCGCTGTTTGTTCCCGACTGCTTATTTGTTGCGATATGCCACAACTTATTCACAGCTAACCTTCTGTGGTGAAGGTGTGCCCCTAACCACTACCAGGGGACGCGCCTGGTAGCATTCAGCTCTGCCTAACCTGAGGCGACTGGACTATATAAACATCAAATATCTGAGAAAGAAACACCAAATGATTCCCAAAAGATGTGAAAAGAAAATCCTACACTGAATAAAATCTAACTGTTCTTTGGTCCATCCCATTTAACTCACACAAGCAACGTGAGGAATCGATCGAGGTAGCTATGACCGGGTCCAACTTCAGTCTGTTATTCTCGGGCATTCGCCATTCTGTCTCCCTCTCTTCGAAACACAACACAATCAACTATGAACTTATCTTTTGGTGGTTGGAATGGTCCAGGAATGACACCGTCTCGGATTTTCGATGGACGGAAACCCTCAGCCGGATGGAAATGAAACAATAACAAAGTTTATCAAATTTGGGAATCCGTCAATCTACGCAATCAACGAACTCGATGAACTGGATCAGGTGAACTTGTTGATGCCAACTGCAAACCATCAGACAGAACATTTACAAGGTCACGTTCTGATCCGTTCACGGAATGGAGGACATCTCAATTTAAATAGAACTACTAACTCCTGGCAAATCAAGTGATAATCCGAAGTGAAAGCAAAACTATTATTCTGGAAAAACTTACTGAACCAATGACTGTTTAGAAGCAACGAGCGAGAGGGAGAGAGAACCAAATGTTGGAAGACCACAAACACGGTGCAAGTGTAGAGAACAGGAGATAAAACTCGACCAAACCCAACCGACAGCTCGGCAAAAGGCCAAATACAAAACAATTGGTCAATTATGGAAACAAAGCATTAGCAGTCATTTCTGCTGATGATGATTCGCCGTTTTTTGTGTTATGTTGATACGGTACTCTAAAATCTGTTTACCTTTGTGAACATTCACCTTAGCATTATCACTCGTGAAACCTATTCTAAGTTTTTAAAAACCTGACCAAAATTTGAGGGGGTGGTATCACTCGGCCTTCATAAGGAGTAGCTTTTCTATCAAGCATCCGTAATGCGAGAGCGGAGAAATATGATAATAAGTAGTATGTGAATGACTGGACAAAATTTCCCTGGAACCACACGACCGGTTTCGCGGTTCTCGCCGCTCGTCTTTTGTCAGTCCATTCATATACTTGTACCTAGG